AAATACCAGTACTTTTAAAAAATGTGTTTAATATTATCAACCATTTACATGTGATTGCTATAAGTGATTGTCATAGAGGACCCAGCACACAAGTCTGCCCAGGGGCCGTAGTGCTGTTGAGACGATTCTGGCTCCAGTCTCTTCTAAGCTGCCACTCTTGTATCGCTACACAAAAGAAGCCACGGTACGTCGAGGCTTGCGAACCGTATATACTAACATCTCAGAGCCGGACAGGATATGTTTAAAAAAGCGTTTAAAGTTTAGAGCAATCTGACTTCCTCTGGTTGTATACAATTTGTATTGGTCTTCCTCTGGTTGTATACCATTTGTATTGGTCTTCCTCTGGTTGTATACCATTTGTATTGGTCTTCCTCTGGTTGTATACCATTTGTATTGGTCTTCCTCTGGTTGTATACCATTTGTATTGGTCTTCCTCTGGTTGTATACCATTTGTATTGGTCTTCCTCTGGTTGTATACCATTTGTATTGGTCTTCCTCTGGTTGTATACCATTGTATTGGTCTTCCTCTGGTTGTATACCATTTGTATTGGTCTTCCTCTGGTTGTATACCATTTGTATTGGTCTTCCTCTGGTTGTATACCATTTGTATTGGTCTTCCTCTGGTTGTATACCATTTGTATTGGTCTTCCTCTCCAGAGCGGATATTATCCTGATTGCACATTAGCTTTAAGTACGAACTCTGTAACTACTTCGACGATCTCCATGCAACTCCGAAACACCTGCACTCCCGGACCGTACCCACAACCTTCAGAGCGCAAGGCAAGCATCGTAAACCCTTTATCTTGAAGACCCTCACAAACTTTAAGTTCGACATCATCATCGGCTCCCACTTACGCCGTTAAGCGTTATGAGAAGGAACAGTTGTCCAGCACTCGATAGGTAGCACAGGTCATTGTCATTCTGTAGGCATAATATCTTTGCAAAAAGAGAGGAGGGAGGGAGAGATTGTCATGTCTTGTCGTGTCAACAAATTTTCTTTGTGAGGAAAGAAAGAAAGAAAGAAAGAAAGAAAGAAAGAAAGAAAGAAAGAAAGAAAGAAAGAAAGAAAGAAAGAAAGAAAGAAAGAAAGAAAGAAAGAAAGAAAGAAAGAAAGAAAGAAAGAAAGAAAGAAAGAAAGAAAGAAAGAAAGAAAGAAAGAAAGAAAGAAAGAAAGAAAGAAAGAAAGAAAGAAAGAAAGAAAGAAAGAAAGAAAGAAAGAAAGAAAGAAAGAAAGAAAGAAAGAAAGCGCCATGATCACATACGCTAATGATAAAGTCATATTGCGTCTGTGCGAGGAAGGAAGCACTCCATACAAAAATGCCGACTCACAAGTCTGGAGCTATGGCACCTGCACCCCCTCGCCGAGCCGCACACTTCCGGACCAAGTTCTCTGTGTCGGCTCCGATCAGCGCCGAAGAGGTCGACGCACCGCTGGATGCGCCAGACGATTATACACAACGACATGCCGGAAGTTCGCAAAGGTCATTATTTGCCTCCCTGAATTCGTCCATAACGCAAGGTAATGGTACTGAGATCGTCTTGGTGGACCACTGGCGTATTCACGTAACCAGACGCACGACTATGGTTACTGACTGGGTTGCCAGGTGTGCAAAGGCCTAGGCTGCAATCGCTGCTTAGATTTTCCATTGCCAAAGAAAAATGCATCAGTTTACTTCTTATTATTGCTGTTAACACTTTATAACAAACATGGTTTACGTTAAAGCTACCAGTTACTATTACAACGAGGCTGCATGCGCACGCATATTATTAAGAGCTAAGAGATGACGCGGGAGAATAGGTTGTACCCTCTCCAGTGTAATCGTTATCTACAAACGCTTACAAACACGAACAGATACGATTAGCCACTATAGACTGACGGACAGAGAGCATGGGTAAGACCAAGAAACAAATGTGTGAACGTTGAATGTACCAAAAAGAGGGAAGCTATTTTTCACAACCTGTTGAATATCAGAGGGAGCTCATAAACAGTACTGCAATTCTTCCCAAAGTTAAACACGCCAACACCGATGGGGAATTCAGGGCTCCTTGAAAAAAAAAGGGGGGGGAGGGAGGGGGTCGATTAAAAGAAAAGTCCTACTGCCGATTAACAAGCATTTCGTTGGCTGCCTTTCACACAATCATGGCACGTGGGGGGGGGGGGGGGGGGGGGGGGGGGGGGGGGGGGGGGGTTGTAAATATAATTGGAGATATCAGAGGAGGAGTACGACGACGAGTAGTAAAAGCAGCAGAGCAACGATAGTAGTAGTAGTAGTTGTTGTTGCTGTACTGTTGTTGCTGAATTCCAGTGTCCCAGTGACGAAGGTGATGTATTTCTACAACCATCTATCTAAGTACCTCGTAGAGTTCGACTACTGATCGTCGCCCGTAGGACTTTTCCAGTTGGTTTAGTTTTCTGCTGTAAAGGTTGTTCTATCTAACAGACTCCATCTTACTGTCACAACTGTCTCCATTCCCACTCATCTGCTAACACGACCAAACAATGAACAGTCCATCTTCCTGTCACAACTGTCTCCATTCCCACTCATCTGCTAACACGAATTAACAATAAACAGTCCATCTTCCTGTCACCACTGTCTCCATTCCCACTCATCTGCTAACACGAATTAACAATAAACAGTCCATCTTCCTGTCACCACTGTCTCCATTCCCACTCATCTGCTAACACGAATTAACAATAAACAGTCCATCTTCCTGTCACCACTGTCTCCATTCCCACTCATCTGCTAACACGAATAAACAATAAACAGTCCATCTTCCTGTCACCACTGTCTCCATTCCCACTCATCTGCTAACACGACCGAACAATGAACAGTCTATCTTCCTGTCACCACTGTCTCCATTCCCACTCATCTGCTAACACGACCAAACAATAAACAGTCCATCTTCCTGTCACCAGTCTCCATTCCCACTCATCTGCTAACACGACAGAACAATGAACAGTCTATCTTCCTGTCACCACTGTCTCCATTCCCACTCATCTGCTAACACGGATAAACAATAAACAGTCCATCTTCCTGTCACCAGTCTCCATTCCCACTCATCTGCTAACACGACCGAACAATGAACAGTCTATCTTCCTGTCACCACTGTTTCCATTTCCACTCATCTGCTAACACGACCAAACAATAAACAGTCCATCTTCCTGTCACCAGTCTCCATTCCCACTCATCTGCTAACACGACCAAACAATGAACAGTGTCTTATCCTTATGCCGAATCATATGTTTTAGTGAACTTGAATTTTTATTCCAGAATTGTTCCCTTCTTGGAGAAAGACATAGGAAGAACTGTCTTGAGTTGGATGAAACAATTGCCCAACGGTACTAAGTCCATGAAAGTTTTATCATTCAATGAAGAAGCCGTGCCTCTGTGGTCGTCAGTTTCTTTCTAACTCGAAATTTAGCGACTAAAAGCCAAATGAATAGGAATGTACATCAAAGGTGTCTGGGGTCTAGACACTCAGGAAAATGTGTCCTTGGGCGATGACAGCCGTCACTCTGAGGCCAGGAGTTTCAATGTGCCACTGAGTGGCTCTACAAGAGTGTGAGATTAATAATTGCTAATAGACTTTTCGTTAAATTTTTATATCTTTTATTTTTTTAAAAAATATATACAAGAGTGTGAGGTGGACGTTTGTTCACTCAGCCAGGCAGCAGCGACATTTTATGGGTTTGTGCGCACGTTCTTTACTCTTATTCACCCCCCCCCCCCACCTCCTTTTCATAACTGTCGTCCTTATATGATTTCATTCTCTCCCTACTTCTTCTTCATCGTCGTTCACTTTCGTAACCCATGACTGATTGGCGTTATAAAGCCCATTTTACATTTTTAAAATCGTGTGCCCTCTCGACAATGAAGGTTGGCAACAGTGTCCCAATGTTTTAGGCGACTCCGGCACCACTGACAGAATACCAGAACAGGCTTCTTCTTTTCCCCAATCATCCGCAGCAGAAATAGAGTCTTGAGACATCGTGGATTGTGAAACTGTGAAATTAGATAACATGCGAAACATGCTAATTAATGACTCTCTTTCCCACGCCTTTCAAAATAACAACTTATTACGCGACCACACACGTGAAGACAACGAAGGAATTCACACACGCGCGCACACACACAAGGAAGGATCAACCACACATTAACTAAATTTCGCCCCCACAGTCTACACCTAATTCCTGGCAGGATTCCCACCCCCTGGTCTTCGGACTAATCCTCGGCTAATCAGGACCCTCCTCCCAGGTGCAGACGTAAATAATTTACGCCTTCCCGAGTAAATATGTCTTCCGTTCTAGAGCCGATTTCTTCCCAGTTTTGCATTTTACCGCCATGAAAGGTCCCATGTAACCATGGCTGTGATAACGCAGTGTTATTATTATCCCCGCCCCTCCTCCCGACTGTTGACTTCTTCAGGTTATCCGGATGTTGAAGATCTCTCAGTTTCCAGAACTTATTCGTACGTGCTGCCGCGCCGATGGTTGTCAGCTGTTAGTGAAATCTGAGTAAAGAGGATTGCGGAAGATGGAGAAAGTAGATGATAAAGAAAATGATGATTGGAGGGCTTCCCTAGTGCGGGTTACCGACCCAAGTTTCTTTGGAGGTGGGGAGACAAAGCCACTGAAAAAGCCTGATGAAAGAGGTGACTAATTAGAGCTGCTTCCTTCCTTGGAGGTCGCAATTAATCTACCTGAGAGGCTACGAACCAACAGTTTGCACACAAACGGGGCAGATATGTAAAATAAAAGTGCATGCAAAACTAAAGCTCTAAAAAGAATCAAGTGCCAAAAGTGGAAGAACAACCAGAACTCTGCCCGTGGTTTACAGCTGTTAGATGCTAAGAAGAAGATTGTGTCGGCAGCAGCAGTGTAGCTTCAGCGGCGGTTGAAGTTTTAGTCGAAGCGGTGGTGGTAATGGTAGTGCTGATTGGTGTAATGGTAGTGCTGATGGGTGTAATGGTAGTGCTGATTGGTGTAATGGTAGTGCTGATTGGTGTAATGGTAGTGCTGATTGGTGGATTGGTCACGTTTTTGGTGGCAGCTTCCGTTGCCGTCGTGGCCGTTCTACTTAGGCTAGTTGCGTATCCTTTACAGGACGTTGCAGGACCAACCCCAGCAGCCTCTGGCTGTTGTGTGGTTTCTACAGGCAAATTTACGTTCAGTAGTTGCTGTACTACTGCTTGCTACTGCTACTACTACTTATTCTACTACTACACTATTTATAACATCCTTGCCTAATTTTAGAAGAAGCTAAGCAATAGTAGTAACAGCAGTAGTAGTAGTAGCAGCAGCAGCAGTAGTAGCAGCAGTTGTAGTAGTAGAAGCAGTTGTTATGTTATCACAATCGACGACTTTGCAACACTGGGCATCCCCATGCGGGCTCAGTCCTCCTATGCAACAGCCACTCCAAGGTACTTCTACTGAGTGTTCCTATGAGAAGTTGGTTATACTATCTCCTATGTCTACCTCGAAGACGGCATAGGTGTGCTTCACCAAGCTTAATTCTTCGGTCATGCAATCGTGTTAGCGTCAGAGATTCAACATTTCCCCCAACCTAGTCCACACAGCGTTGATGATATTAGCTCTGTCTATGTTTCTTGTTTGCATTGGTGCACTACTTGCCACTGGTCAGCTCTTTTATTACAATATACTACTGCGTGCCCACGTATGTAGATCCAGCCGATGGGGGTTAACTGCAACTTTCAAATGTTTTCTTCCCATTCGGGAGCGTAGCGTAGACTACCTGTTGCGATTTTCTGAAGCATGTTCATAGAGTCTTAAACGATTACCGCGTGTGTGACGCTTGTTCTGTAACACATGCAAGTGTTCCTGGAAGCAGTCGTTATCTCCAGGTCATGATTGAGGTAGTTGCCTGGTAAGCGCCACTATCCTCTTTTATTGTTTTCCATATTCTTTGTGCTGTGTATACCCTTTCTGATCTTCACCCACGCTTTATGGATCCATCTGTGTAAATGGCGAAGTCTTTTGGGCATGAATGCTGATCAATCAGTGCGCTAATCTTGGCGTCTATGATGGCAGGTATCTGACTCCTGCAGTACCTCCCCAGTGTTATGACAACCTTAGACAAGATGTTGTATCCATCCATTCTTTTCCGTGACTGATCTCGTCTAGGTCACATACTTGCTTGATTAGATTTTCTGCTTTCGCCATCCAGGAGGAGCACATTGATAGCGCTTTGCAGTGGCTAGATAATGTCTGCTGATATCCTCATGTACGTTTTCACCACCTGTGCCATTTCAAGTCTGGTCGCCATCGTCGGCAAACCCAGGACATATCGAATGGCATGGCATGTGGTGTCTTTTTTACAGCCGAGTATGAATCTCGTGGCCTCATTTTGTACCCGGTCCAGTCTTTAAAGCTGGGTTCTGCTGACAGTGATGAGGCCCAACCCGTAGTCTATAACAATTAGTATAAGTCCCTGGCACAGAAGAAAAGGTGCACGTTGTTCAATGTCCGCATATGCTAGCGCATTCAGCGCCGTCAAATTTTCCTGGATCTAACTACGACACTGTCTACGTGATTCTTGTATGATAAGTATCGGTCGAAAGTTATGCAACAAATCTCATTCCGTTAGTTCCATCGATGTCTATACCGCACATGCTCACAACTGGCGTAACAGTACTGACAATGTCGGTTTTCAAGAAAAACCATGTTAAAGAAGCCTTTGCCGGGTTTACCTATTCTCTTGATTCATGGCACCACTCACTGAGTATCTTTCTCGTCGGTACACACAGTTTATAGGCTGCGGACATCATCATTCTGCCCTGACCTACTATCTGTGCATTGGTAACTACTTGTGTGTACACATTAAAGAGAACAGAAGACAGTTTTTATCCCTGCGGCAAGCCAACTGAAACACGTTAAGGTTTTGAAGCCTACGCACCGCATCGCATCGACACTTCTTTCGAAGACCGCTCTTGTGATCCAGTTGACTAATTTCGTTTCTGTTGGCATGTCCATCAATAGTCTGATAAGCTTATTGCATGGAACGTTGTTGTACGAGTCTTCAAATTTATTGGGGGCTGCGGCAGTTTCTTTTTCTGTCTACAAGCCCTCAAGCAAATACTGCAGCACTGCACCAGGGATTTCTTTCCGGGCGGTGCCCACCTAGTGTCTGTGCAAAAGACCAATTGACTCTATAATTTTGGGGTCAAATTTATGGCCACGATTTGTTCAGTTAGTTTCCCTATGGTGTTCTGAAGTGTGATGATTATAAAGCCAATGACATTTTCATGGTCTTTCCCAAGCTTGGGAAAGGGTCTGAGGTAGCTATGGAGCTAGTATTTGGTGACAATACCGCTATTGGTGCCCTTATTAAATGTCCGGACAGGTCTTCGGTATTGCTCTGATGTTTGCATGTTTAATATGTGTCATCTTCTCTCTCCATTTCAGCGACTGTTTGTTTCATCTGCAGCAGCAGCAGCAGCAGCAGCAGTAGACAAGGTGGTGGTGGTGCAGTAATAGTAGAAGGAGAAAACGCTGATAATTAAGCTCGCCTAATGTAATATTTACGTGAAAGATGTTGGAACTGAAGAAATCTGAAAATAACACGATATGACAAATAAGAGATGGATGTTAAAAATGCATTACATAAAACGCGGGCGGGGGAGACGATCTGATTTTGTGTTTACACTATTCAGTCAGACATGTCAATCAATCTATCAATCAATCAAGCATCAGGTACCGTCTCTACAAAGAAGGTCGGCTGCAATGGATCTCCAACACGCTCTGACTCTTGTTTTGGTTGCACACACTTTCAGACTGATTTCTATCCACCTCCAACTTGTAATACCTTTTACTCTCTTTCCCTCGATTTTTCCCTCCAGTATGGTTTTTAAAAGTGTATTACTTTTTTTTTTTGGGGGGGGGGGGGGGGGGGGATAAGTTTTTTTCAGTTGTCTCTTTGTTATTTCTTTTAACAATTCTCTTTTCATTCGCAGTGTTTCGTGAACCTCTGTATTTTTTTTTTCATGAAATACGACCCATTCTTCTGTATATCCATATTTCCAGAGACTCAATTATATTGTCTAGTTGCCTGTTCGTTTTCTAAGATTCTGCACCACACAGCAGGTTGAGTATACATAACACTATATATTCTCATTTTTAATGTGTTGTTTATCTCTCTAGCTATCAGATACGTGGCTCCTTGTAAATACCATTGTGATGTTTTATTTTTCCTGCTAAGAGTGTCTTATTTGTACTGATAAGATCAGTGGATTGTTTCCGTGTGTGGTTTTCCTTGTGTCCAGCTTCCTAGTAATGTTTTGACTGCTTCCGTTTCGTGACAAAAAAAGTCACCGACAAGGCAGAAGAAAATGTTTGATGATATTCACAGATATATGAGCTACAAGACGTTTAGAGTGGAATTATAAGACATCTGGAGGGGACGAGAAGAACCCACTGATGTAAATCAGAGAGGGGGTAAAGGGAGGAGAAGATTTTGGCAGAAAGAGATAGAGAAACAGATAAGATGAGAACATAGAAAGAGGAGTAGTGGGGGAGAGGTAGAAAAGCTAATGCATAAAAAAGAGAGAGAGAGAGAGAGAGAGAGAGAGAGAGAGAGAGAGAGAGAGAGAGAGAGGGTGACAAAAAGAGGGAGACAGAAGCAAATTGGTGTATATAATATGGAAAGAAACAAACCTGGCTGTTAAATTTCAGACAGGAAAAGAAGAGAACTTTGGAGGGAGCGATAGAAACAGACTGATGCATACCAAGGGCAGAAAGAGAGTTAAAACTGACAGAAATCTTGATATCAGAGAGAGAGAGAGAGAGAGAGAGAGAGAGAGAGAGAGAGAGAGAGAGAGAGAGAGAGAGAGAGAGAGAGAGAGAGAGAGAGCAGCAACAACCTATGATAGATCAAAAGCAAAAACAAAATTCCAAGGATAAGCCCGTCAACTTGGGGACTAAAAAAACATAGATGACAAAGGCCAGACTCATAGAAAAAGACAAGCCTCAGTGTTATTCAGATGTGGTGCCAAAACACGAACTCACTCATCTTCAGTCTAAACGTGCATACATTTTTATCTCAGACCAAACAAAACACAAATAGACTAAAAATAGCCAAGAATGTGTAAAATGTGCTGGTTTCTTGTTCTTAAATGTTTACCTCTGGTTAAATTTTAAAGCCAAGGTAAACAAAGTCAGAATTCAGCAGGCAACCTGTCTAGTTAAAAGGTTCATTAGGCCAGGTAGTCTTTTGTAAGCCAAAACATTAATGTAAATTTACGAGTTTTTCCTTTGCTTATTTTTAACTTGAAAACTTCTTGTTCTTCGTGTTCCCCAGCTGTAAACTCTGGCGGAAAGTTTTGGTTGTTCATACACTTTCGGACTGCAGTCCTGTTCCAGAACCTGAGTAGTTGCGTGCGCATCTATTTTACATATCGGACTCATTTGTATGCAGACTGCTGGTTCCTTGCCTCTCATGCAGACGCACTCCGACTTCCAAAGAAGCTCCAATTAGTTGACTCTTAGGACATGCTTTTGGGTAGGCAGTAGGTCTATTTTTGTTTTCCCTATAAAAGGGCCCCGGAACCCACACGGGGATACTTGAAACAAATAATGCCTGGATCAACTTTTTTTCTGACAACTAGACTCTTCCATTTGGGTTTGTAGTTGATATTTTAGTGAACATACACAAAAATTGAAACCCTCATAGTTATATGGGTCTTCAAAAAAACAATCCAACGGTATCTCACTGAAGTCTGTATGACAAATCTAAGCCGAAATATTCATTCCCACAACTGAAATTTCTGTTGTTCCGATGAAACCCTTCGCAATATTGTGTCACCGTCTACTCTTCGTGTCAACTAGGCCCAAAAACCGACATTACAGCACTCGGGACATTACCATAAGTGCCCCGTCCTAATGTTCAGCAGCCAGCGCCGTTACACTAGATCAATGATACGTGATAATTATTTTGGTACACTACCAATGATGTTTGATCCTTCACCCTGATGTTGTTACTTTTACTTATTGTTTACTACATTGCCAGATGACTGTCAAAAACCGACATCACAGCACTGTTTTACTACCAATGATGTACTGATCCTTTACTTATTGTGTTACTACCAATGATGTCAGATGATCCTTTTACTTATTGTCCTTACTACAATTGATACCAATGATGTCAGGCTGATCCTTTACTTATTGTTTACTACCAATGATGTCAGGACTGATCCTTTACTTATTGTTTACTACCAATGATGTCAGACTGATCCTTTACTTATTGTTTACTACCAATGATGTCAGACTGATCCTTTACTTATTGTTTACTACCAATGATGTCAGACTGATCCTTTACTTATTGTTTACTACCAATGATGTCAGGTTGATCCTTTACTTATTGTTTACTACCAATGATGTCAGACTGATCCTTTACTTATTGTTTACTACCAATGATGTCAGACTGATCCTTTACTTGTTGTTTTTTTATTGTTTACTACCAATGATGTCAGACTGATCCTTTACTTATTGTTTACTACCAATGATGTCAGACTGATCCTTTACTTATCAGACTGCATCCTTTACTACCAATGATGTCAGGCTGATCCTTTACTTATTGTTTACTACCAATGATGTCAGACTGATCCTTTACTTATTGTTTACTACCAATGATGTCAGACTGATCCTTTACTTATTGTTTACTACCAATGATGTCAGACTGATCCTTTACTTATTGTTTACTACCAATGATGTCACACTGATCCTTTACTTGTTGTTTACTACCAATGATGTCAGGTTGATCCTTTACTTATTGTTTACTACCAATGATGTCAGGCTGATCCTTTACTTATTGTTTACTACCAATGATGTCAGACTGTTTACTACCAATGATGTCAGACTGATCCTTTACTTATTGTTTACTACCAATGATGTCAGACTGATCTTTACTTATTGTTTACTACCAATGATGTCAGACTGATCCTTTACTTTTTGTTTTACTACCAATGATGTCAGACTGATCCTTTACTTATTGTTTACTACCAATGATGTCAGGCTGATCCTTTACTTTTGTTACTACCAATGATGTCAGGCTGATCCTTTACTTATTGTTTACTACCAATGATGTCAGGTTGATCCTTTACTTATTGTTTACTACCAATGATGTCAGACTGATCCTTTACTTATTGTTTACTACCAATGATGTCAGGCTGATCCTTTACTTATTGTTTACTACCAATGATGTCAGGCTGATCCTTTACTTTTGTTTACTACCAATGATGTCAGGTTGATCCTTTACTTGTTGTTTACTACCAATGATGTCAGACTGATCCTTTACTTATTGTTTACTACCAATGATGTCAGGCTGATCCTTTACTTATTGTTTACTACCAATGATGTCAGACTGATCCTTTACTTATTGTTTACTACCAATGATGTCAGACTGATCCTTTACTTATTGTTTACTACCAATGATGTCAGACTGATCCTTTACTTATTGTTTACTACCAATGATGTCAGGCTGATCCTTTACTTATTGTTTACTACCAATGATGTCAGGCTGATCCTTTACTTGTTGTTTACTACTAATGATGTCAGACTGATCCTTTACTTATTGTTTACTACCAATGATGTCAGGCTGATCCTTTACTTATTGTTTACTACCAATGATGTCAGGCTGATCCTTTACTTATTGTTTACTACCAATGATGTCAGGCTGATCCTTTACTTATTGTTTACTACCAATGATGTCAGGCTGATCCTTTACTTATTGTTTACTACAATGATGTCAGGTTTGATCCTTTACTTATTGTTTACTACCAATGATGTCAGACTGATCCTTTACTTATTGTTTACTACCAATGATGTCAGGTTGATCCCTTTACTTATTGTTTACTACCAATGATGTCAGACTGATCCTTTACTTGTTGTTTACTACCAATGATGTCACTTGATCCTTTACTTGTTGTTTACTACAATATGTCAGGAATGTTGTCCTTTACTTGTTTGTTTACTACCAATGATGTCAGGCTGATCCTTTTACTTTTTGTTTACTACCAATGATGTCAGACTGATCCTTTACTTATTGTTTACTACCAATGATGTCAGACTGATCCTGTACTTATTGTTTACTACCAATGATGTCCTGTTGTTTACGTACCAATGATGTCCTTTACTTATTGTTTACTACCAATGATGTCAGGCTGATCCTTTACTTATTGTTTACTACCAATGATGTCAGACTGATCCTTTACTTGTTGTTTACTACCAATGATGTCAGACTGATCCTTTACTTATTGTTTACTACCAATGATTTCAGACTGATCCTTTACTTATTGTTACTACCAATGATGTCAGGCTGATCCTTTACTTGTTGTTTACTACCAATGATGTCAGGCTGATCCTTTACTTATTGTTTACTACCAATGATGTCAGACTGATCCTTTACTTATTGTTTACTACCAATGATGTCAGGCTGATCCTTTACTTATTGTTTACTACCAATGATGTCAGGTTGATCCTTTACTTATTGTTTACTACCAATGATGTCAGGTTGATCCTTTACTTATTGTTTACTACCAATGATGTCATCCTTTACTTATCCTTTACTTATTGTTTACTACCAATGATGTCCAGGTTGATCCTTTACTTATTGTTTACTACCAATGATGTCAGGTTGATCCTTTACTTATTGTTTTACCAATGATGTACCATCCTTTACTTGATGTACCAATCAGGATGTCAGGTTTTACTTGATCCTTTACTTATTGTTTACTACCAATGATGTCAGATGTCAGGCTGATCCTTTACTTATTGTTTACTACCAATGATGTCAGGTTGATCCTTTACTTATTGTTTACTACCAATGATGTCAGGCTGATCCTTTACTTATTGTTTACTACCAATGATGTCAGGCTGATCCTTTACTTATTGTTTACTACCAATGATGTCAGGCTGATCCTTTACTTATTGTTTACTACCAATGATGTCAGGCTGATCCTTTACTTATTGTTTACTACCAATGATGTCAGGCTGATCCTTTACTTATTGTTTTACTACCAATGATGTCAGGCTGATCCTTTACTTATTGTTTACTACCAATGATGTCAGAGGCTGATCCTTTACTTTTTGTTTACTACCAATGATGTCAGACTGATCCTTTACTTATCCTTTACTACCAATGATGTCAGAGCTGATCCTTTACTTAATGTTTACTACCAATGATGTCAGGCTGATCCTTTACTTATTGTTTACTACCAATGATGTCAGGCTGATCCTTTACTTATTGTTTACTACCAATGATGTCAGGACTGATCCTTTACTTATTGTTTACTACCAATGATGTCAGGCTGATCCTTTACTTATTGTTTACTACCAATGATGTCAACTGATCCTTTACTTATTGTTTACTACCAATGATGTCAGGCTGATCCTTTACTTATTGTTTACTACCAATGATGTCAGACTGATCCTTTACTTATTGTTTACTACCAAATGATGTTTACTACCTGATCCTTTACTTTTGTTGTTTACTACCAATGATGTCAGGATCCTTACTGATCCTTTACTTATTGTTTACTACCAATGATGTCAGGCTGATCCTTTACTTATTGTTTACTACCAATGATGTCAGGCTGATCCTTTACTTATTGTTTACTACCAATGATGTCAGGCTGATCCTTTACTTATTGTTTACTACCAATGATGTCAGGCTGATCCTTTACTTATGTTTACTACCAATGATGTCAGACTGATCCTTTACTTATTGTTTACTACCAATGATGTCAGGCTGATCCTTTACTTATTGTTTACTACCAATGATGTCAGGCTGATCCTTTACTTATTGTTTACTACCAATGATGTCAGACTGATCCTTTACTTATTGTTTACTACCAATGATGTCAGACTGATCCTTTACTTGTTTACTACCAATAATGTCACACTGATCCTTTACTTGTTTACTACCAATGATGTCAGGTTGATCCTTTACTTATTGTTTACTACCAATGATGTCAGGCTGATCCTTTACTTATTGTTTACTACCAATGATGTCAGGCTGATCCTTTACTTATTGTTTACTACCAATGATGTCAGATTGATCCTTTACTTATTTTTTACTACCAATGATGTCAGACTGATCCTTTACTTATTGTTTACTACCAATGATGTCAGGCTGATCCTTTACTTATTGTTTACTACGGTAATAGCACCCCCGAAACCACACAGGGAGAAACTACCAAGTGAGAGAATAACCTATTTAATGTCTGTGTATCAACTGCCAAGTGAGAGAGTAAGATGTTTAATGTCTGTGTAGTAACTGCCAAGTGAGAGATTAAGATGTTTAATGTCTGTGTATCAACTGCCAAGTGATAGATTAAGATGTTTAATGTCTGTGTATCAACTGCCAAATGAGAGAGTAAGATATTTAATGTCTGTGTATCAACTGCCAAGAGCATAAATGTCAAGAGATTTCCTGTATTTATTCAGGTGAGGTCGACCGTAGTGAAAATTCAATTATAAAAGAATCAGTCTCAACGCAGTCAAAACCAAGACATCTACACCAACAAGCAAGCGTCTGATCTCTTCCCCACCACGATTCCCAATCCCAACACAATACATCACACAAGTGCTACATACCTCCACTACTGCGGTCACCACATCTCGACCAATAGCCAGACCCTGGACAAAGGTTCTCGCCGCGATGAAAGACCGCTTGACGTGTAACGACAACTTCTGTGGCACGTCTCCGAAAGGCTTCAGGTCGTTCATTCTCTCGGTGACACAGACCAAATAGCTGTCATCGAATTTGTAGTTAGAGTTGATGAGCTCAAACATCCGCTGCAGTAGCTTGCTGAAGAAGCTGTCCATCACCTCGGCGAGGTTCTTGTCTTTGCCCTTGTAGTAGCCTCGGAGATCATCGAAGAGCTGCGTGAAGATCTGCGAGTTCTGCTGGTAGAGTAATCCGTAAGTCTTCACAAACATCTCGTGTAGGTCTGCCCTGGCTTTGTCCAGTAACTCGGTGAAGAAATCTGTGAAGAACAGAGAATGACCACAGGCAATTAACAAGGGAATCAACGGGTATTTAATAAGCGAATCAATGGGTCTTTGACAACCTAACCGATGAAAACAATATGTGCGTCTAACACACAAACCAATTACTTAGTCATTTCCCGTGTCCATTCCGTAAGATTTTTTTTTTTTGTTTTTGTTCTTTACAGAATGAAAAAGATAAAGGCATTTATGCACATGGGCAGAACAATGGTGTGTTGGGGCGGGGGGGGGGGGCAGACAGAATGAGAGTTTCCTGATGCATATGTACTAAAAACGTCTGAGTGGGTTGTCGTTACTGTTTTTAGTAAGTTCAAGACGAACTCATTGATATTTACCCTGAAGACAAAGCTGAACTTAAGCACCTGAAGGGGCAGCTGAGGCACACTAAGCCATCCTACCCACCATTTTGTTTTAGGAAGGGCGCTCAGCTCCCACCCAATAAATTTAAGGGGTCTACGCCTCTACCCCCAGTAAATGTGCAGTGTTTATATAATCATATTATTTAAAATGTATTATTTCATGTATGTGTAATTCAGCGGGTAATTATTACAGCACACTAAAGCAAGGCTAAGGCGCCTACTCCCTCCCTTATGCGTCACCCCTAGGGAATGATAAGGGAGCTGAGCGCCCTCCCTCCGACCCCCAACATCTGGTAGTGGCGACGCGCCTGAAGCTGCTGGCCACGACAGTTACTGCTGTTGTTATGTGAAGCGTTGCCCGGCTCTCTAGCGTAGTTGGCTAAACCGAATAGCGCGGTGACCGGGTGACGAACTTCGTGTGGTCCGGGTTTACTCCCGGGATAGGCAGAAAAGCCACATTTCTCCCGGATTTACGGTATTTACAATGAAATCAAGACCGAAAGGTTGCGATATCCATAATATCGAGACTAAGGGTTAACAATCATGGCTTCTGGATACTAAAACAAACAAATAACATGTGAAGCGTTGGGCCCTAACATATAGACGACAACACACACTCTCAGATCGACCAATTCCTTTCCTTGTCCGTCTTTAATTCTCGGAACTAAGCAACGCATCCTTGAAACGAACCTCCCACTTTCAGAGTGCAGGACTAACAGCTTGGCTACTTCGTCACGAAGTGAAACTAAGAACAAATGCTCAATACCCACATTCGTTTTCTTCTGGCTGAAGTACTTCCCATTTCCTTGACAAATTCTCCTGTTTAAAATTCCATCGTGCTTGTGTCGCTGCTTCGTGTTAACAACAATTTCTGTTTTGTGTTAACAACAATCTCTTTTTCGTGTTAACAACAATCTCTGGTTCGTGTTAACAACAATCTCTGCTTCGTGTTAACAACAATCTCTGCTTCGTGTTAACAACAATCTCTGCTTCGCGTTAACAACAATCTCTGTTTTGCGTTAACAACAATCTCTGCTTCGTGTTAACAACAATCTCTGCTTCGCGTTAACAACAATCTCTGCTTCGTGTTAACAATCTCTGCTTCGTGTTAACAATCTCTGCTTCGTGTTAACAACCATCTCCATGGTCTGTCAAAGTTATTGACTACAGTGCCAACAACCCGACCATCAGCAGCTCAAATTGCGGTGTCAAACAACTGAGAACAAATGAAAGCCTTGAACAGTCAGCGACGTCGTGTGATGGGTTGAGTCATTTTCTTGCTGCTTCCAGTCAGGATTTTACTGGTAACGTTGGATATTTCATCTTCAGTATCCCAGCCCGCCAAATTATGTTCGGTGAGGATTTCGAACCGATAATTCAGCACGTCACAAATTTGAACAACCTCGTGATAAGTGGTTATGTGATCAGAACACGGACAGTTTAGCCGCGGCAACAGTGTTACCACTTTGGATCTTTTATATCCAAATTTAGATCTTTTTCATTGCATTTAGATACTGTTTTTGACGTTTAGACGCTTTTCATATGGAGTTAGATTTTTATAGATTTTTTTTTTTCTGTCATTGTCAATTTAATAATTACTGTGTAAAATATTTATTACAATATTTTTGTTCTAGTCTGGCACGTACATTGTGACAACTGCCATTACTTGAACTTTGAACTCTCACTGGGGTCAACGCACAAATATCTGGCAGCCCCGGTACTGATTAATAAAAACGCGCGTAAATCATACTAACTTTGTTTCAACCGTATCCTCACTGTGCTGACTTTGCGTTTCATTTTCATGTGATTAAAAAAAAATAATTGCTCACTTTCTTATGTGGCTTTCAGTTTGAAAAAACCTTTCAACATGCCAAAAGTAAAGTATTAGCAAAAAAATTGGAAAGAGTGGTTGCATGGTGACAAAATTAAAAACTGGGGATATGACCAAAGCTTGTTGTAAGTACTGCAAGTGTGAAATTAAAGCGAAAATACAAAACTCAAAGAGTCATGTAGAGACTAAGAAAGCATAAAACAGGAGTTTTATTTAAAGATATTACACCGCTATCTGTTTTCAGAACTATACTGATAAATGAATAATCAAAAGTTGAAGTATCAGTCGCAATGTTTTAATTTGTAACTGCGCAATTTCAAACTGTGACCATTTGATCGATTTGTAAAAAAATCTTGGACTAGTTCAATTTGAAAAGTGTGATGTAGAAAGTATAGTTTAGGAACTGAAGGACCTTTTAATCAGCAAACAGTTAGGCTTGAAGAATTCGGCTGTAATTGGTACTGATAATGCCTCAGTGATGGTTGGTACAAACAATGGCGTTTATGCCAAGTTGAAGGAAGCTAACCCATCGTTAATACTTATAAAATGTATGCATCATTTAATGCAGCTAGCATTATCACATGCTTCATCTAAATATTTACCAAGGAATTTGGAATACCTTATTGCTTGTTTTCAAAATCATTTGTCAGACAACAGCAATACAATACATTATATACAGCCTTGAATGATGGTTCCACACCACCGAAAATTCTGTCAGATTGCAAAACTAGATGGTTATCAATTTAACCAGCTGTTGAAAGAATTATGAAGCAATGGCTGAAGTTGAAGAAACACTTTGAAATAACTAGACAAAGTGAAAAGTGCTACACAGCTGAAATACTATATGGAATGGAATGTACAGTGATGAAAAAAATGTGTCATTCATTCTCTTTTTATAACCTATTCTAATGGAAGTGCAAAAAGTTTTAAACTGTTCGAATCTAAACTTGTTGATAAAGTTAAATTACTTGATGATCTCACCTTGCTATTTCACTCGGTAAAAGACTGGTGTTGCCAACTTCTAAAGCTGATTTGCTCACTTGCACTATTGAGAGCTATTTGGCTCCTAAGCCACACCTTGGATATTAAATTGAATCAAAAATTGATGATTTAAAAACAAAAGGACTGTTAACAGAGAATGAAGAGAACAACTTAAGAAAACGCTGTCAAGATTTCCTTATCTCATTATTGAAGCAATTGAAGCAGAGACTTCCTGAAAATCTAGATGTTTTGAAAAATATTTCACTTTTTTATGTGAGCAACATACTTCAGCCAATAAAGGACATACCTAAATATTGTAAAGTTATGAAATTTTTACTAATACGCTACTAATAATAGTGTCGCGGAAGCAGAATATCAGTTAACCAAAATAAAGTTAGCTGAATGGACAAACAAAACAGAAACTAAAGCGTTTTGGAGTGAAGTGAGACAATTTAAAGATGCCTCATCAAACAGTCCATTCTGTAAGCTCTTTAAAGTGCCATGTCTGCCATGATACTACCCCACTCAAATGCTGACGTAGAAAGAGTTTTCAGTGCTAGGAATTATATCAAATCTAACCTAAAAAACAGGATGAAATTTGACCTCTTCAATGCTATCGTGCCATTAAAATTCGGCCTGATAAGACTAGAGAAATAAGCCTACTGTTCCACTTATAAAGAAATTTGAACAGCTAAAGCATACCAGAGTCATTTTGGATCTGAAGCTTCAACTTCATTATCCAAGCTAAGATTATCCTGTGGATCTTGTGAGGCAGACATCAGTGAAGGTGAGGACATGATTATGTAGGGTAAGTCATAACAAAAGCTATGTAATTTTTGACTTTTTCAATTTGGATGTTTTTTCTAGATCTTTTCCACGCAGATTTAGATCTTTTTATATTTTTTGACACTATTTTTGATTTTTTTTTTGTCAAAGAAAAGTGGCAACACTGCGCGGCAACGCTTTGGGGAATGGTGATGATTTGAGAGCTTTTTGACCTGTTCTTCTTCTTCGTCTTCTTCGCGTTCACCGGCTTTAAACTCCGTCATAAAAGTCTGGTTGTTCGTCCTTCTGGACTCTAGTCCTGTTCCAGAAACTGTATTGCGTACACATTTGTTTCACACATCTGACTGATTTAAATGCAGATTGTTGGTTCCTTGCCTCTTAGACACATGTACTCTGACTTCGAAGGCAGCTCCTATTTAGTCGACTCTTACGACATGCTTTTATGCAGGCTGTGGGCTGTGGGTCTATTCTTGTTTTCCCCACAATGGAGCTCCGGAACCCCATTTAATACCATCAGTGTCTTGTCTCCCGGTTAGGATAATGACCCAATGACACGCAGTGGTGGCCCAAAGACACGCAGTGGTGGCCCAAAGACACGCAGTGGTGGCCCAACGACACGCAGTGGTGACCCAAAGACACGCAGTGGTGACCCAACCACACGCAGTGGTGACCCAACGACACGCAGTGGTGACCCAACGACACGCAGTGGTGACCCAACGACACGCAGTGGTGACCCAACGACACGTAGTGGTGGCTCAAAGACACGCAGTGGTGGCCCAATGACACGCAGTGGTGACCCAACGACACGCAGTGGTGACCCAACGACACGTAGTGGTGGCTCAAAGACACGCAGTGGTGGCCCAATGACACGCAGTGGTGACCCAACGACACGCAGTGGTGACCCAACGACACGCAGTGGTGACCCAACGACACGCAGTGGTGACCCAACGACACGCAGTGGTGACCCAACGACACGCAGTGGTGACCCAACGACTCGCAGTGGTGACCCAACGACTCGCAG